TCTGTCTGTCTGTCTGTCTGTCTGTCTGTCTGTCTGTCTGTCTGTCTGTCTGTCTGTCTGTCTGTCTGTCTGTCTGTCTGTCTGTCTGTCTGTCTGTCTGTCTGTCTGTCTGTCTGTCTGTCTGTCTGTCTGTCTGTCTGTCTGTCTGTCTGTCTGTCTGTCTGTCTGTCTGTCTGTCTGTCTGTCTGTCTGTCTGTCTGTCTATCTATCTATCTATCTATCTATCTATCTATCTATCTATCTGTCTGTCTGTCTATCTGTCTATCAATCGTATCATATGGTCCTCATTTATCCAAAGCAGCTTACTCTGGGGTTTTGGTTTTCTCTGGCACACTTTGCATTTTCCTGTGTCTCTGTAACTTAATTAATATTCAAATATTGTACATAAATATAATTATTTTGCTAACATTCATGAAATCACATATGCACTTTTATCAACTTTTTTTATTTAGTTTTTTTCCCCCTTACCTTGTTCTTTGATGCCTATAGATTGTTTTAAAGGTTTTTTTTTCCATCAATTTTTCTGACGTCTATTTGCTGAAACATGAGTAATCTCAAAACTGGAGAGAACAGAGAGGACAGACATATGTACATCACTAATCAATATTTTGTAGTGCCAAGACTGTATTAATAATATGCATGATATTATTTTAAAAACAGCTTGTTTTTTTGTTTTTTTTTTCACTCTAAAACATTTTTCCCAAATGTAAATGTTATAACTGATAACGTGACGTTCGGTTGGGAGGCGGAGCCACGTGGTCACGTGCCTGGCGTCTCCAGGAAGTTTTTGAAGCAGCTGATTAATATTCATGAGCACGCCTCCGCCACAGTAGCTAGTGAAGCGAGCAGCATGATTGATCTCCATGGCTGCTCTTATAGCTGTAAAATGCGGTGTTATCTTCGAGTCCTGTTCGTCTGCACGCTATTAGTCTTCTGCTCGCTGCTCTACATCTTTAATCAGCTCGTGTCGTCTCTAGAGCGCGCGGATCATCAGGATGACAGGTAAATAAACAATAACACACACAAACCTTACAACAACATCTGCACGACGACACAAAACTGAGGTTATAAACACTGGACTCATGATGTGACCGCTTTAAATTAGCTTTAATGACTGGACAGGTATTATAAATAACAGAAATCTTAACCAGTGATGCGTTTTTGAGTAATTTAATGCAGAGGATACTCCTATAAGGCTGTTGTGTTAATTTAACAGTTGTTTGGGCTGGATTTCTGCTCGTTTAACTCTACTAATTTGATTACATTGCTAACATCGAATTAATATTCATAAGCTTGCTTGTAATAGTAGCCGTTAATTCGCCCGCTGAGTAGCGCCCGCCTATCGGTCTGCCTTTCAGCCAATCAGCGAGGCCTACTGGGGCGAGCGTCATGTTACGTAATTAATATTCATGATTCAGGTCATCTCGAGTCCATTTTGGTCAGATGACAGGTTTGTATTTTAATAATTTTTTTTTTTTTACATTTTCAACTCTTCCCCAGACACCAGTTTGAAAACCCCTGTTATTACATTTTTTTTTTTTTATATCTAATATATATTTATTTATCTGAATGCAAAGGCTCATTCTTCATGCACAGACCTGAGCGTCACGTCACAGATGTTTCAGGGTGCCTCTGATTGAGAGCCGGTTGATCCCGAGCTGAAGCTGGTGTGTTTGTGTGTGTGTGTTGATGTAGAGCCTGTGTGTCTCTCGTCAGGTGTAACTCAGGCTCTGTCACTCTCTGGGAGCCGTACTGGAGAATCAGCGATGCTGTGTGCCCAAAAGACTCAGCTCTTAGGTACAGACCTTCAGCTCTAGATCTAGATCCGTCTGTCTCTGGGGTTTGATGTTCAGCTGTTGAGCGCTCACTGCTGTTAGTGTGTATTCCTGGTTATATGGCTGTAGTGTTGACCGTGACTGCTGGATGGAGTTTGCAGAACCAGCTGCTGTAAAGCTGTAATTCTTCACTGATCCTGCTGCTGTGTCTGTGTCCCGCTCAGGTCCGCTCCTCGGGATCCGGAGCGTCTGGAGCCGGTCGAGCTGGCGGTGGTGGCCTGCGGCTCCAGACTGGAGGAAACACTCATCATGCTGAAATCTGCTGTTCTCTTCAGCCAAAGACGCTTGCGCTTTCACATTTTCGCAGAAGACGACCTCCATGCCGGCTTCAGACAGGCGGTGAGCACGTATATGAGGAGTATCCACTGTATATTCATGGTGGTATTAGGGCGAAACATAAATTAAGCAACACTTTTAGAAGACATTAAAAATGTGCATTGTATTTATAATGCACTTTTCTCATACACAAAGCGCTACAAAACAGGAAATGGATGTAAAATACAGAAATGACAAACATGATACAAAACAGTAAATACAGTAAACCAGACAATAAATAACTCAACATCTTAACAGAGATTAATAGTTTTTGTGATTTGAACTTAACTGTTTTAGAGTAAACTGGTACGTTTAAAACCTCTGACTCAAACATGTTCACAGAGTGGCTTTTAAAATGTATTAAAATGTTTTAGGAACAATATGAGCAGGTAAATATTGCTATTTTACTGATGCATGTAAATGGAAATGATTAAATAGGCTATACTTCTTTCTTGTTTTCGTTTTGTGGAAAACATGATTAAACCTTTACTTCTTGCACTAAGTGTTCGTTTTGTGGAAAACATGATTAAACCTTTACTTCTTGCACTAAAAAATGTCAGCGCAAAAACGTTGTTTTATGAACGAAAACAGTAACATAAATACATAAATAGAGTGGTTGTTCAAGGTTAACTGGTCTTTAATAATGTTCTCAAAATGTTAGATCAAAACATTATGGAATTTCCACATTCATGGAACAGATTTCTAAAAAAAAAAAAAATTAGTTTTTAAATGTTGCTACTTGTTTCAGAACGTTCAGACAACATTCAAAAGTAACGTTCACATAATGTTTGCAAAATGATAAAATGGAATGTTCATGTAACGTTCAAATAACCAAGAAGAAACATTTTTAAAACGTTAAAAAACTGGATGTTTTGAGAAATTCACAAGTAACAATTTCACCATTTGAAGCAAAACATTCTTATTTGTTAGTTGGGTAGATCAAGATATATAGTGAATATCCTCAAACGGCTCAGAGTTTTTCCTCTGCACACCAATCTGAGAGAACCAGCACACGTTGACCTTCATGAAATCCCGTCTGTGTCGTGCAGCTGCAGTCGTGGCCGCAGAGGTTTCGCTCCAAGTTCAACTACAGCGTTCATCCCATAAGCTTCCCCAGCGATAGCGCCAGAGAGTGGAAGAGACTCTTCAAACCCTGCGCTTCACAGAGACTCTTCCTTCCCGTGAGTATCTGAACCGAGCGAGAGACGCAGTCACAGTCTTTTGTGATATATCTTTTTATTTATGCAACATAAAATAATGAAAAAACGATGTCTTGTCGTCAGGATTGATGTACGTTAATGACAAGTGAATGTTTCTATTCAGTAAATCTGCCGGAATTCAAATGATTTAAGCAGGTTTTCTTTGCTATACTTTGAGGTTTGAGTTCATTTTGTGTACTATATATAAATTACTCTTTGCCTGTAAATGTGAATAACTCTCTTCTGATCACCATTTTATGATATATAGCTGTTACTGGAAATGCTGAATAACCCAGAAACCGTGTTATTGTGTGTATATTATGTATTTAATGATAGATATGAAGCAGAAATGCATTGCTTACACACTTTCACACATCAGCTGTTTCTATTCAGTGAATCTGCCTGAATCCAGATGATTTAAGCTGTTTTATGAGGTATTTAATATATATATGATATGTAAGTAATATGATAAGTAGGTGTGTAAGGACTTTGAAGTGTAATAAGTGACTAGGGTTGGGAATCAAAAATCAATTCCAGAATCAGATACTTGTTGTAAAATTAAAATTTCAATTCCACCTATCAAGTACTTTTTTTTTTTTTTTTTTTATATATATGCATTTGTCTTTGAATCATTCATTCAAGAGATTCGTTCAAACACACGGATTCATCCAGTAATGAAACGAGTGAATCTTCAGTGAGTCATTGAATCATTCCATTCATAAATTCCATGAGATTTAGTTTAGTTGTCTGATATTTTTTTTTTTCTTCAGAATTGTGAGAGAACTATGACCTCCATTAAAAAAAAGTCTCCGTTTATCCAGAACGGTGCAGCTCTATTTTGCACGCAAACGGCTCTAAATCGAGTCCAGTTTTTATGCAGCCGGCTGATTTTTGTTCATGGTATTCAGCAGCAATGAAATGTTTTGCAAAAAGAGACACAGAATAAATATGTTTGACTTCATGTTTGGAATCGATAAGAATCAGAATTGATCAAATTGAAAGCATACCCATCCGTCTGATATTTTTTTTTTCTTCAGAATTGTGAGAGAACTATGACCTCCATTAAAAAAAAGTCTCCGTTTATCCAGAATGGTGCAGCTCTATTTTGCACGCAAACGGCTCTAAATCGAGGCCAGTTTTTATGCAGCCGGCGGATTTTTGTTCATGGTATTCAGCAGCAATGAAATGTTTTGCAAAAAGAGACACAGAATAAATATGTTTGACTTCATGTTTGGAATCGATAAGAATCAGAATTGATCAAATTGAAAGCATACCCATCCCTCTAAGTGCCTGAAGTGGCGCTCTCAGCTGATTTTGAAGCAGGTGGACTCTGTGCTGTACGTGGACACGGATGTGCTGTTCCTGCGGCCGGTGGAGGACGTCTGGAGCTTTCTGTCCCGGTTTAACAGCAGCCAGGTGGCAGCGATGGCCCCGGAGCACGAGGAGCCGCGCATCGGCTGGTACAATCGCTTCGCTCGACACCCGTACTACGGCAAGACCGGCGTCAACTCCGGAGTCATGCTCATGAACATGACACGCATCAGAGACAAACACTTCAAGGTACGGCACTCCCGGGATTCATGCATTTAACAGCTGGTTAACTAAAGATACACACTCATGATTAAACAGAAGTGTTGGCGTTGAGATCCGAAACAAGTATGTATATTTTTAGCCCAAAATCAATTCTTCTGCTTTTCATTTGTGAACCCGTTGAGGACAGATTGATATTTTGGCCCAGCTGATGGATATTTAGCTATTTTGAGATTAATTGTCTTTAATGGACACTGAAGAGTTAAAGCAGCAAAATAAAGAAAATATTGTAAAATATTGAAAACATGATGGAAAACAGTGTTGCATTTCAATGCATACACTTGA